TTGTTTGTTGCATCTAAGTTATCTAATTTGTTGGCATACAATTGTTCATAGCATTTCCTTATAATCCTTTTTATTTCAGTAAAGTCAGTAGTGATGTCTCCTCTTTGATTCCTAATTTTAGTAACTTAGGTCATTTCTCTTTTTTTCTTTGTCACTTTAGCTAAAAGTTTGCCAATTTTGTTGATTTTTCAAGGAATCGACTTTTGGTTTTGTTGATTTTATCTGTTATTTTTCTATGTGCTGTTTCATTATTTTTGCTCTAATCATATTTTTTTTTCCTCTTTCTGCCTACTTTGGGGTTCATTTGCTATTCTTTTTCTAGTTTCTTAAGGCAGAAGTTAGGTTATTTGAGATCTTTGTTCTTTTTTAATGTAGGCATTTACAACAATAAATTTAAATCTAAGGACCAATTTTGCTACATCCCATAAGTTTTAGTATGTTTTTGTTGTTATTCATTTCAAAGTATTTTCCAGTCTCCCTTGTGATTTCTTCTTTGACTCTTTGATTATTTAGGAGTGTGCTGTTTAATTTCCTTATATGTATAAATTTCCCAAATTTCCTTCTGTTATTGATTATTAATTTTATTCCATTGTGATTGAACATATTTTTATGATTTCTAGCCTTTTAAATTTTTTTGAGACTTGTTTTATGACCTAACATATAGTGATCCTGGAGAATGTTCCATGTGCACTCGAGAAGAATGTGCATTCTGCTATGGTTGGATGGAATGTGCCATAGATGTCTCTTGGGTCTAGTTGGTTTATACTGTTGTTTAAGTCTGTAGGATTTACATCTGCCATTTTGCTTTGTTTTCTTTATGTGTAATGTCTTTCTTGTTTCTATATTCTTCCATTGCTGTCTATTTTTGTGTGAAATAGATATTTTCTAGTATACCACTTTAATTCCTTGTTGCTTCTTTTACTATATTTTTTTCATTTATTTTCTTAATGGTTGCATTGGGAATTAAGATAATGACTTAACTTATAATAATCCAGTTCAGATTAATACCAACTTAATTTCAATCATTTGAAAAAACATTGTTCCTATGTAGCTCCATTCTTTTCCCCTCTCCTTTGTGCTACTACTGTCACCCAAATTACATCTTTATATATTGCATGCCCATGGACACAGATTTATAATTATTGCTTTATATTGTTTGTATTTTAAATCAGATAGAGAAAAAAGCTATAAATAAAAAATACATTTATAATATCTTTTATGTTTAACCTATGTAGTTATGTTTCCTGATGTTATTATTTCTTTATATGGATTTGAGTTGCTATCTAGTGACCTTTCATTTCAGCATGAAAGACTCCTTTCAGTATTTCTTGTAGGGCAAGTCTGCTAGAAAAAAATTCTCTGAGTTTTTGTTTATCTGGGAATGTCTTAATTTCTCTTTTATTTTTGAAGGATAGTTTTGCTGAATATAGAATTCCTGGTTGGCAATATTTTTCTTTAAGCACTTTAAATCTGCTATCCCACTCTCTTCTACCCTCAGTGGTTTCTGATGAGAAACCAGTGGTTAATTTTTGGGGGGATCACTTTTGCATGATGAGTCGCTCCTTTCTTCCTGCTTTCAGAATTCTCTGTCTTGGGTGGTTGAGAGTTTGATTATAAGATGTCTAGATGTGACTCACTGAGTTTATCCTATGTGGACTTCATTAAGCTTCTTGGATGCGTAGATTAATATTTTTTATCAAATTTGGGAAGTTTTCAGCCATATTTCTTCAAATATTTTTTCTGCCCCTTTCTCTCTCCTCTCCTTCTGGACTCCCATTATGCATATATTGGTACACTTGATGGTGTCCTACAGGTCTCTGAGGTTCTGTTCATTTTTCTTCATTCTTTTTTCTTTCTGTCCTCGGACTGAATAATCTCAATTTACCTATATTCAAGTTGGCTTTTTCTTTCTTCTGCCAGCTCAAACCTGATGTTGAGTTCTTCTAGTGACTATTTCATTTCACTTAATGTCCTTTTCTATTTTATTCTTTTATGTGTACATGTATATTTTCTATCTCTTTGTTGATATTCTCCATTTGGTGAGACATTGTTATACTACACTTTCCTTTAGTTCTTTATACATGGTTTCTGTTAGTTCTTTGAACATATTTAAAACAGCAGACTTAACATCTTTGTCTATTAAGTCTTACATCCGGGCTTCCTCAGGGGCAGTTTCTATTGATTTTTTTTTTCTTCTCTGTGTATGGGCAATACTTCTCGTTTCTTTGCATGGTTCATTTTTCTTTTATTAGAAACTACACATTTTAAATAATAAAATGTGGCAACTCTAGAAATCAGATACCCCTAGGGTGTGTTATTGTTGCCATTTATTGTTGCTGGTGTTTGTTTAGTGCATTTCCTGAATTAAATCTATAAAAATCTGTGTTCTTTTTCATGTGTGGCCACTTAAGTCTTCAGTTAGCTTAATGGTCAATTAATGATTGGGCAGGGATTACCTTAAATTCTTGGGACCAGTAAGTCTCCCTGCCTTTGCTGAGGGGCTCTGTGTGTGTGTTAGAGCACGCCTTCAATGCTCAGGCAGGGAGTTTATAGCTCCACCTTAGTCTTCACTTCCTGCTTGTGCAGAACATCAAAATGAGCCAGAAGTGAGAGCTTAGGGCATTCTCAGGACATGTACTTTCCTGGACATGTACATAGCTATGGGCAAGTGCACATCCCTACATATGTACTTGGTCTTCTAGATTCCCAGGAATAGGCAGGAGCCCCTGTGGTCCAGATTTCCCCTCTAAGGTTTTTGATTAGCTTATTGTTTTCCCCACCTGTTATTGCCACTTTGGTCAGCTGCAATGTTTAACAGTTTCCCCTGATTGATTTCAACCAAATCCTATTGGAAAAAAGCTGCTCTCACTGGACAAGCTCTGAGTTAGGTCAAATAAAGACAAGCCCTGCAAGTGAGATTTCCAGGGCACTGCCAGACAGATAAAATGATGACAGCCATCGGGGAATTGGGCTTTGAAGGCACTGAAAGCCCATTCTGTCCCCTCCAGAAGCTACTGGACTGCTGGTTTTTACTGTTATTTCTGGGGTTATTGGTTTTTAAGGCCATCATGGGGCTGGAGGGGGGAAATTAGACTAAGGCATGTGAAAATGCAGCAAAGTCTTGCTATTTCTACTGAGATTCAGCCATTCTCCTTGATTAAATACTCCTGGATTGTTCCAAGCCTTTGGTTAATTTCCAGAGCTCTGAAAAAGTTGACTTACTTTTCATTGCCTTTATTGAGGAGAGGACTTTGGGAGGTCCGTATTTTGCCATTCCTGAACAGTCTTTTCCATTCATTCATTCTGAGAACCTTCACTGTCAGCCTTTGGGAATGCAAAGAGAAATAATATGCATTCTTTACCGTCAGAGAGCTCACAGTCCAGAGAAGACAGACACATGTAAAGATAGTATGAAGTGACAAAGGCATTAATAGAGGTATATATACTGTGATGATATATCCAATAGTTCTGTGATCCTGGTAGCATCCTCAGGAGATGGGCCGGTACTTCTCACTTCATGCACTGTCTGTATTCCTAATTTGTCTGTGCAAGTTGTTTTTTAAATTTTTAATTTGTCCTTAAAGACCCCTGTAATTTCTGTATTACTTGCTAACCAATCACTCATTTGCTTAAAGTAGAGCGCATCTCCTCCCCATTACTAAGCAGTGGAAGAGGACATCAATTCTCCTGCTCAGTCCGTGCATCCCTCTCCCCTCTCCCTAAAGCTGCATACCTCATATGTCAGTGGGCACATGAATCTGACTGAAATTCAGATTCTAATTCAGTAGGTCTGGAGTGAGTCCTGAGAGTCTGTGTTTTAACAAGTTTCTGGATGATGCTGCTCCATGGACCACATTTTAAGTAGCAAGGTCCTAAAGATTTAGCAGCTTTGGCTTCCAAAGCCTGCTCCATGCATCTCCTTGAGATAAAATAGCTCCCATCTGCTTTCTGCACCTGGGCTATTTATGCACTTGAACTTTAGAATGTGGGTCACAGAGGAAGCCTGTGGGTTTTTCTTTGGGGCTTTCAGAGTGGAGGAGAAGATCATCTTCTACAGTGAATTTTTGTAAGGTTCTGGCCTTAATAGATGGAGGGAATTTCCAGGTCACTGTAAGGTTGATCATGGTCAGATTCTCTGAGTGCTGTGTGTTGTTAGTACAGGTGAAGGGGAAGCCAGGAGAAAACTGAATGGTTGCAAAACATGCAAGGTGTCTGTTATACACCTTTTCTGTAAGCCCACTTAGGAGAGAAGAAAACAAGTGTGTAAAGCAGAGGAAAGGGAGGCAGAGGGAGAATGCACATGCACAGGCTTGAGGGCCAATGTGTTTCCAGAACTGCAGGTGAGCGTACTGTTTTCAGAGTCATGCAGCCTAAGTCCAAATCCAGGAGCTCACCTTTGTTGGTGGCATGACTTCAGGCCTGTTTCCTCTGTTCCTCAGTTTCTTCTTATAAGATGGGGGTGACATCAGTACCTACATACAACTACCTGTCACACAGTAGGTGCTCAGTTATATTAGTTCTTATTTTTATCTCTAGGTACCTTGCTAGGCCCTTGCCATCCGTTATGTCATTTAATTTTCCTAGCTCTGTGAGAGAGGCATTGTGACCCTAGTTTAGAGACTAGCTCACTAAAGCCCCGAAAAGAATACCTGTCCAAGGTGGGCAGCTGGGGTCAGAGCCAGGAGTGGTGCCCACATCTAACTTCCAATCTTGCTGTCTTTGCTTCTTGGGAGTGGACCCTACACTTTGGTAGAATGCAAACTTCTGGGGGCTCTTAGCCCCAAGCACAGTGTCTGACACACAGAGCCCACTCCATAAATCTGTGGTCCTATTTGAACAGATGAGTGGTGAATTCCATAAAGAGAAGGGTGGGAGCCTTTGTAAAATCTTTCTCTGAAGAAGTGAAACCATTCTTTTCCAAGAATGGTTTAAATATTCTACTGATAAGGATGGTGAAATAGAATGGCTGGACTCTTAAAGCAGGCGACAAAGGCGAAAGTGAGAGGGCAGTGTTTTACCTGGAGCAGTGTCACCATCTGAGTGCCTGCAAGCTGTGATTAAAAGAGAACCATTAGGATCCGTCAGATCAGAGCATGCTCAAGAAATCCCCAGGGACCTCGAGACAGAGACAGCAGATGATGCCAACAGGGGTCCTATACAGCAGCCATGGTCCTCCTCATCAAGAGAAAACAATGTGAGCTGCTTGCCTCCACATCATTCAGTGAAAGCAGATTTTTGGAGAGCAATATAAATGCCTGTCTTTCTATTGATCTTACCATAAAATCAGGGGTCAATTTTAGAATATCCAGGACAGTCGATGAACTGCTCTTCACAAAATCCTCCCTTGATAAAGTTTTCTTCTGCAAAATTTTGGTAGACAGTGGGTAGGGATGAGTTTGAGGTCACCCTCCCTGGGTATCCTGAGGGCAACTATTGCACTTTGCCAGATGAGAGCAGCCCGGGGGCGGAATGCACTGATCTGGGGGAGGTGTTGGTGCCCTTCTGTGAGATGGCAAGTGTCTCAAAAGGCCCATCTCGAGGTCCACCCATTCCTCTTGGAGATGGTGAAATGGCCCGTGGATCAGCCAAAAGTCTCCTCAGAGATTCTTTTTATAATCTGTTCATGTTCATATACAACTAGACCATTGAGGCCCTCAAACCTCTCCTCCATATTTTAAGGTAGGTATAACCCCATTTAAGACCACCTCAGAAACTTAGGACCTTATGAAATACTTAAAAATATATGTCCTCACCATATGGGACTATTTACTATGTAGTTAACTTAAGCCTAAACACATGCCACATTCATAGACGATACTCTATGGGGTTGGCCTTTCTATTTCTCTTCATTAAAGAATTGCTGAAGATCCAGCCAAGCAGAGTTCAGGGGTTCAAGACGTTCTCAGGAATCTCTTTGTTTCTCCATCTCTCGGCTCTGCTTTCCTCTGTGTAGGTGCCATTCTCTTTAGACTCTGTCCTCCTGGAAGCAAGACTGCAACTGGCAACTCCAGGATGACGTCCCAGCCATAAGCCATCCCAGCGAAGAGCGATACCTCTTTCCCAGGAGTTCCAGCACACATCTGTCCCTGCAGGCCTCTAACTGAACTCACTTGCAATTACCGTGGCAGGGAGTGGAGGGAGTCTGATGATGGCCTGGATCTGGATCCTGTGCCCACACCTGGGGGGGTAGGAGAGGGGCAGCCCCACATGAACCACACAGGCTGAGTGTATGGGAGTGGAAGGATAAATAAAAAATATTGGGGTGCCGCTATTCGAAGAAATGGCCCAGCAAATTTTGTTGGAACCCGAGCTGTCTCTTCACCTGGGCCTATTGTTTTGGATAGAGAGTTCTGAACAGGACACAAAGGGTCTTGAGCTCCCCCTAGAGGCCAATACTAAGGGATCACTTGGAAAAAGAGCAGCTCTTTCAATCTTATGTTTCTATCTATATACGGAAATTTATAGACTGGAAGAGGTCTGTGGATCAGCTTGGGAAGCCTCTGACGTGAGATCTGGTATCACGAGAGTGGGAGAGCTCTGCCACTTATCGGCTGTGTAGCTTTTGATAAATTGTCTAATGTTTCAGTTTCCACTTCTGTATCATAAGGATAATGGTAGTGCCTGGCACCTGCTAAGTGGTATATCAGTGCTCGTTACTGTTATTTTCATTTCTCCCTCCTTGCTCCAGTCATATTGAATGGAACATTCTCAGCCTTTAACAGGCATTTCCATTGCCCTTTTAGCAAACAAGCTGTTAGGATGGCTCATGTGAGTTAACAGGTGATGACAATGTTGTGCTGTGGACTTGGACATTGTCTTACCTGGGGACGCTGGTGAAGTCACTCTGCCTCTTTGAACCTCATTTTTTCTTCTGTCCCAAGAATATATAAAACTCACCCAGTTAAATCTCAAGGTATACTGTGCAGATAAAATAAGAGGAGAGAGAATGCATATACATTGGTAAAGGTCAGAATTTTGTTGGAGTTCACGGAGAACCTGAACTCTCAGGACATCACAGCTAGGAGAAAAGGCAGGTAAATAGATGACCATAAGACAGTGTAATAAGAGCCACAATGGGGTAGTCACAGGAGGCTGTGGGAATAGAGAGGAGGGGCCCCAACTCAGCCTTGAAAGAGGGAACACCAGGTGATAAAAAGTCTAATAATGGGGCTGGCCCAGTGGCGCAAGCGGTTAAGTGCACACGCTCTGCTGCGGCGGCCCGGGGTTCACCAGTTCAGATCCCGGGCACGCACCAACGCACCGCTTGGCAAGCCATGCTGTGGCGGCGTCCCATATAAAGTGGAGGAAGATGGGCATGGATGTTAGCCCAGGGCCGTCTTCCTTAGCAAAAAGAGGAGGAGTGGCAGATGTTAGCTCAGGGCCGATCTCTCTCACACACACACACAAAAAAAGTCTAATAATTATTATTACAGTGACTATAATTTCTTAGGCAGTGACTACTGGCAAGTACTTCATAAACATCTCATTTGCTGAACTTTATGAGGTAGGTGCCAATATACTCCCTCTTTTATAAATTACAACAGTGAGACTTTGAGAGTTTAAAGCACATGCACAGGGCTGCACATAGAGAGAGGGTGGTGCTGATGGCCCCCACAACATCCTTCTCCAAGGTGCTGAGTACTTTTTGGAGGAGGGAATGCTTGGGCTGAGGTCTGAGGGGTCAGTAGAGTTGGTTAGGAAACACGGAGGTGAACGAAGGCGTTCCAGGTGCAAGGGGCAGCATGAATAAAGTCAGGGAAGGGAGAGAACATGCTGTCTCAACCCTGAAATGGAGCACTCCATTAAATAATCTGATGTAATGGTCTGCCCTGGTGAATGCACAGACTGTAACAATCTATCAGATATTTCCAGCTTCTTGGAGAGAGGGAACAAATGAACACGGAGCATTATCGCGGTAGTGATCAAGCTTGCCTAAGCAAAGAAATTGCTCCTCTCTTGCTAGGTAATGATTTAACGTGTTGTTTATATTGCCAACTTCACGACAGCCTCCTAAAAGAAAGCAACACCCTGAAGATGGGATGCTAAAGCAGCATGTTTCTCTGCAAACCTCCTATTCCCGTTAACTTTATGGCTTCTTCATAAATTTGCTGCTTTGGGCATTTTTTCCCCCACGTTTCTTCTCTTCTGCAGAGAAACAGGTTATTGGAAATATCTCACTTGGCTATTCTGAAGCAATGATTTATTTATGTCCTAGGTTTACTTGAATCCCCCTTGCCTGTGCCCGAAGGGCTCTGGGCATTTGCACAAGAATGGGAAAAGGGGACAGGCAGGCTGTGTGCTGTAAGCAGCTGGGATCCCCTAAAATAACTGAGGGCCCCTGGCCATGGCCCAGGTGGAGAACTGCCCATGCTCTGAATCCTCAAGGTCAATGGATTGGGAAGAAAGCTCAAGAAAGCCTTCTCGTTTCTATGTCTGGATTCTGGAGGGATCCTTTGATTTTTCTCTTCATCCGTTCATTCATTCACCAACTACTCACTAAGCATTTCGTTTGTAACAGAAGTTTTTAACCTTATCTGTAATTTTTTTAATCAATAAATGTACTCATGTAACACTTGTATATTTAGAATTAAATTGCTAAATGCAACATTAGATGCATGTATAGGCTGCAGATGTAGATAAAAGGAGAGAATTTCAGGAGAAGAGGAGTTTTCCTGTAGGAGAAAGCATCTGAATAGGGCTTTGATGAATGGATAGGAGTTTTCCAGAATAATGAAACTAAACAACAGGCTTACAGATAGGGACAAACTGCAGGAGATGGCATGAGAAAGGTGGGCATGAATTAGAGCCTGGAGGACCAGGGGTGCCAAGATGAGGAGCACAGCAGAAGGGAATGCTAAAGGGCTTTGGGCAGGAGCTGAATTCATCTCAACTTCCAGAAGTCAGCCCTGGGTCCCTGCAGAGAGCTACTGAGGCCTGGCCAGTTCCATCTTTGACCTGGAGAAGGTAAACTGAGTGAGAATAACACAGGAGAAACTTACGTACAGCCCTTTCAACATGGAAGTCCCTGTTTTTAAGTGTTTTACATATACCATCTCGCTGAATGCTCACAACCACACTGTGAGTAAGTGTGCTGATATGATCCCCATTTTGCAAATGAGGAAACTGAGGGACAGACAACACTTGAAAATAATCACAGAGGAAACTCAGTGCTTTCCCAAGGCTTTGGGTATGGACAGGCATGAATTATATAGCTTGAAGTGACACCTTACATCTCTCAGGAGACATGACAGGACCATTCAAGATGCTAAAAAAAAAATGTGTGTATATTGTGACTGCAACTATGTAAATAAGTGCATAAAAGAAATGCTCAAAAAGATGCCAAAGTGATAGGGTAATAGGATTGTGAGTAGCTTTTTCATCTTTTCTTTTCGTTGGTTAAGTTCGGTGCTGTGGGTGTGTTACTTTTATAATAAAAACCATGCATCTATAAATAGCGAAGACTCTTACCTCACTGCTCCAGAGCTGCCCATAAACAATTCCGGGATGACAGAGGCAGAAATGAGAGAAGCACAGTACCCAGGCTTCTGTGCAGACTGGAGAACAGAGCAGAGAGGATTCGGGCTCACTTCTGTGCAGTGAGACTCCAACTCAGGACGCTCAGACCTGACCTCAGTCTCCCAATCGTGGATTTTGTCCATGAGATGTTTTAAAAAGGTAAATGGAGACGCAGGACACTAGGTAACATTGAATCACATAGTGTAAGAGTTTTTACCTTTTTATTCTTTCCATCTTTTGAATTAAAAGGAGAAAGTCTCATTTTGGTGATAGTATATTTTTATTTATTTATTTATTTATTTTTATTTATTTATTTTTTGTGTGTGAGGAAGATCAGCCCTGAGCTAACATCCATGCTAATCCTCCTCTTTTTGCTGAGGAAGACCGGCTCTGAGCTAACATCTATTGCCAATCCTCCTCCTTTTTTTGTCCCCCCAAAGCCCCAGTAGATAGTCGTATGTCATAGTTGTACATCCTTCTAGTTGCTGTATGTGG